GATTAAACTACTGATAAGTAGTGTCCTTATGATCGAATCACTTTCCAAAAGCCCCACTTCTGATCATGTCAGGTCATTGGAGGGACATTTTAGAGAGAAACCCTAACATTCTATTTCTGAACCCAAAGGATTCATGCACATATCTATACAAAAATACATTTAATATATCTCTAAGTCTCCAAAGTGTTAACAGTTTTAGCATTCTTGAAAAGTCCAAAGCCAAGGTTTCCTCTGAGACTAAAGACAAACTCTTAGTTGTGAGTGCCTAAAAAAAAAATAATTAACACCTTCTAATATACAATGTTACAGTGTAAATATTTTCACCCTAAAAGTGAGGAATAGAGAAATAGAAATAAATTAGACAAAGGAATTCTGAAACACAGTGAGGAATCATTAAGTCTTACTGTTCTACGTTTAGGGTTCAGGGCAAATTTTGGTGAGATGCAAACTGCAAAGGATTTGGGCAGCTCCAGCTGTACAGCAATTCTGGTTGCGACCCTCGTGGTCTCTGTGTTGGACAGATTTCCTCACTGCATGTAGCTTTCTTCGGAAGACATTCCATATTCTTGGCTTTTCCAAATTCCTGGGGTCTCCAGTATACTTTTTGTTTTACTGTCACAGCTTCATGCACTGCTGTCTCAAGGGCTACTGTCTGAACTCCCAGACCTTCTGCTGAAGTCTGATTGGAAGCCTTCTTGACTCTACAAGTCTTGCATCCTGCATGCATGTAAAATGAGCACCAAATGGATGACCCCACATGGCTGCTGCCTGCTCAAGCACTAGCCAGTCCCTTTTCGAGTATAGCTGCAGAGGTCTCTAAGCATTTGAATATCTGGGCACTGTGGGAAATAAAAAGTTCCAAGGAAACAGTTCCTAAGGGAGCTCTTCTGGATCATCTGGCCTCAGATTGCCTGAACTCTGATCAGGCATCTTGGAGGTTTCTTTTCAAAATGAAGTATTTCAAAAGTTTTTACATTTACCCTTTCATACCCGGTGAGCCAGTGAAGTGTGCAGTCTTGCTGATTCCTGAGATTCCCTCCTGCCACCTTTGTTATTGTTCTAATGGGAAGTACTTGACTTCTTTTTACATACTAATCCTTTTAGCAACCTCACTCTTCTAGGAAGCACTTTGCAGGTACTTTCACTTTGGGTAAACTGAAAAGTTCTCAAATGAGATTTTTGATGCTATTTCTTACTAAAACTTGGTGAAAGCTGTCAGAAGTACCTATGCCACAGCCTTAACTATGGGCTTTCTTGAAATTTCATCCACTAGATCAGCCGCCGCCCTTAGTCTCAGGATATGGGTGGAATGTAGACAAACTTCTACCAGAGCATAACATACATGGTTTGTCGTCTAAATGCTAATAGAGTCCTTATTACCAACAGAAACTTCCTGAGCTTGTTTTTTACTATGTGTATTTCTAACATCACAAATTGCCTGAACTCTGATCAGAATCAACCATCAATCTCAGTATACAGCAGTTTTTTTTTAAATAGGTAGAATTGCCACACTTTTCCAATCTCCTTTCCCAAGCCAATTTCAAAGTCTTCTAAACCATATAGTCAGGTGTAGTACTGACTCTCAGCTTCAAAATCTATCTTAATCACACTCTTATTGCTAGGACAAAATATCTGATACTTACAAACTAAAACAGGGGAGTTTTATTTGGTTCATATTTTTCAGTGCAAAGTTGGGTGGCCCCAAGAAACAGCATAGTGGAAGGGCCTGAGTGTAAGAAAACTGCTCACATTATGGTGATGAGGAAGCAGAGATTGTGAAGGGAGGATCCAGGGAGAAAGATATACTCTCTTATGTCATAGCCCTAGAGATCCACATCTTCCAACTAGGCTGACTTCATAGCAGCACATTTAGCTAAGAATTCTTCAGTGAGGAATATAGTGCCCACTTTTCTAGTCACCTTCCAAAAACTCCACTTCTGGACACTTGAGGCCTTTGGAGGACATTCTAGATCTAACACATTATAGAGTAGAAGCAGAAAATGCAGCAATGCTAAAGGGCAGATATAGGAAGCGATTATTTACTCAGATATAGAGCTGAATGGAGAGGCTGCCCAACAGAAAATGTACCCTTGCCATAGAAGGCCAGGGTCAACTTGTAATGACCTGGCAAGAGGATGGATGTTAGAATAAAGTTACCTCATTCTGCACAACTCTTTCAAATTTCTGGCCAGTGTCTTCCATGGATGCCATAGAAGCTAGAAGGCACAGAAATCATTGTTGTAGTCTTTAGAAGGGTTGGGGCTCAGAGTAGGGCAGAGAAAGGCAGAGGATAGATCTCTAAGGCAAATACAAAATATTCACTTACTTTTTTTATTACCTAAGATGTCTTACTGGTAGTTGCTAGAGTATTGACACTTTCTTTCCAATTTCTATATAGGTAGAATAACTAGAGGAAGGAAAAAATGCAGTCAACAAATTCCAACAAAAAGAAAAAAAATATGATGTGACAGAAATGAATTAGAGAAGTTCATTGTTTTACATTCTTCATGGTATAATTTGCAGGCAATCGAAACAGTATTGATGTCTGTTATATTTATTTGACTGAAAAGTCTCAAAATTGTCCACTTTTTGGCCATGCATATATATATAAAAAGGTTTCTATTTTGCTTTTTAAAAAATCTATTAGGTTCTCTAAGGGCATGCTTTCAGGACAAATCCATATGAGCATGACAAAAGCATACTGCAGAAGGAAGTTGGGTTAAGAGGTGGTTATAACTGAATGGCAGTCTCAGCCTGATTCTAGGGGGTGCTCTGGAACATGAATGGTGCACGGTATCGTCCTTCAAAGAGGCCAGGCGCAGCTAGTCTTTGACTGCAGGCCACTCTAGTGGAGGGTGAGAGCTTATTCCTCAGGTACAGGCAGGCAAGGGGATTTTCCTTGGCTGAAGATAGTTATACACAAGAGGTTGCATCTGTCAACCACTAGAATCCAACACTAAAAACAGCTGTAATACAAGTGTTAGCCCAGTAAAGAAGGCACAGGTGGGGCACAATATTTACTAGATACCTGTAAGCTGGTTTTGAGAAATCTTTCTACAAATGAATATTCCAAAGTTTGAACTTCAAAAGCTGAAAATGACTTTGATCACACAGCAGAATACAGTCAATCATCTTATCTCTGAGAAAATTCTGTAGAATAATCAGGCAATTGGCAGACATATAGTTGACCTGAAAGAAGATTATCAAATAAATGTTTGCTGGAAATTGCAACAGCCTTTTGAAGCCTCCTATCAGAAGTCCTGTACCTATTCATCTTTTAAAAATCTCTTTCATAGCTTCTTCTATTTTTTTTCTCAGTATGCACCCACAGATTATTCTGTGACCCATTCTGCTATGGTTTGGTTACAACTAGAGTGTTCCACAAAGGTCCGTAGGTAAAGATTTAATCCTCAGTGTGGTGAAATAAGGCCGTGGTGGGAACTTTCAAAGAGATGGAGCCCAGCAGGAGAGCACTGGGTTACGGGATCACATTTGTTTAAAGGAGTGCAGGAACTGATTTTCCCCTGTCCTCGTTTTGACTGGAGACATGAACCTTGTCCCTGTACATACTCCTGCCATGATGCACTGGCTTTGCAAGTGGTGAGACCAAGGGGGCCAAAGCTGTAAGCGAAATGAAACTTTACCCTTTATACAGTCAGTTGTCTCAACAATTTCACAAACTGAATTCACATTCTTATCTGGCTTTGCTATCCTACGCTGGTGTGCTGTTAGCTGTGGTGAATAGTGATACGAGTTAATCAGGACTGACATTAAAATTCTTGTGATATACATGCTTGTCAGTCAGTTGTAGCCAATCAGAATGTAACATGGTGGGGACTCACCAATGGGACAGATTTTGACCTTTTAATCATATTGTTATTCACGGATGTGTGTACTGGAGGAAAGGCTGAGGCAGCATAGATGGAGTGGCTGCACCCTGGGTTGGGGGATGCTTATTTTCAGCTGCTCAGAAGTATTGCATTCTGCCTCTGTCTGACCTTCTGATTAAATATCAGCCTGAAAGAATTGCTTCTAATATAATTTACTTTTGCTGTCATTACTTTAAGTAAACTCTCAATAACTGTGGCTTTGATCTCAGCAGTCACCTAAATCACAAAAAAGTCAGATACTTCTAATACCAGTGCCAGATTCAGTATAGCAATAACTTAACCCCAAATCAAGATTCCAATGAAACTTTTATATCTATTTAAACAAAAGTTAAAAATTAGATAGAAACATAGATGCATAATTGGCACAGTAATGTATTTTTTATTATGCGCCCTGGAAGCAAGGTGGATGAGAATTTTCTAATAAGAGATAACCTTCCAGAAAAGGCATAGATACCAGGCCATCTTAGTTGGATGTAAAAAGTCAATGCTTTTTCTATTCATAACATTCTATGAATTTTACACTATGGCACTTCAATACACAGTGCTGCTAATTTTTTTTCTGGCATCATTTGTACAAAGTCTCCTCAAATTCTTCACATTTTAGAGCAGAGTCTAGACATTTATTATGATACAATCAAAAGAAAAGCTTGCAAAAAAAGAGAAAGAAATAAAAGTGAATAGAAATGCTGATTAAAATAACACTACCATTTATATGAGGTTTCTTTTAAATTGGCATTTTCCAAAATTCATTTTTTGGAAGATGCAAATCACACTAAAATATTTTAGTACTAAAGTCAGTTTGATTTTACAGACTTAAAAAGAAAAAAGACTTAATTCTGCAGAAAGGATTTTAGCAATCTAATTAAATAAATATTGTGGCAGTACATTAGAATAATTTTCTTATCAGTGAGAAAAGAAAATGCTCTCTTTCCCTGAAACCAGACATTTATGTCATTGTTGAAGAAAGGCAAGTGAACCATTGCTAAGTAAATGGGGTTTTTTTCAAGTCTGTATCTGATTTGATGAAGTCAACTTTTTAAAACAAGAACTGAAAATGTGAAATGCACATTAATCCAGTTCCTGAACATCACTTTTCTTTTTAAATTTCAGGACCCCTGCTTCACTTGTAGAGCCATCTGCTACGGTCCTTTCTACTATGCATGTGGAAGGATAATTTCACAGGGTGCGGTTTCACAAGCATGAAGAAAACTATAAAACTATAAAAGGATCTGGAAAAGTTAAACTGTAAGTGACAGCATCTGCACAATGTATAGAGAAAGAGAAGAGACAGAAGCATGCAAATTAGTTGCATATTATCAACACAGAAATTCAAGTTCCAAGAAGATGATTGGATTGGAAAGATGGTTATGAATCACTGTAAAGATGTGGGGAAGGTAAACAATCGGTCAGGTACTTTCTTGTGGCATGGAAAATCAAAAACAACCCACTTAACTCAGGTGAAAATAAAATGAAACCAAAAAAGTTCCCCTACCCCTCCAAAAAAACCCCAGGATTAATGAAAAGATTACTTGATATTTCTGATCTTAGATTTGAAACAACTCAACTTGTTAATAGGTAATTTCATTAAGTCCAAAGTATCATCAAGGAGATGCTTATCCCCTCTGATGTGCATTGGCAGGTTAGTGTTGAAGCAATCCATTTCCAGGAGGTGGGCTACAGACCTGTCCAACGTGCAAGTCACAAGTTTGGCTGAGTGTAAGGAGATTTAATTTCACTAAAAGCTTACAGCTGAGGTCTCATTCTCATATTCAACACAAAGGCTGCCTTCTAAGACGATTAATGTAATTTTTACATCCTCTTCAATTTGGCTCTAAAAGATCTATTTCAATTATCATAATTCTCTGAATGATAACTTTTAACATTTCCAGGTGGATTATTTGAAACATTTTTCACCACTTCAGACTAATAATGAGAAAGTACTTCATTTAGTTTTTACTGGTAGAAAGTTCAGGACAACAAGCTTTTGTCCTAAGCATCTGAGTTTTAGGGTCATTCTGACCTTGGTACGTGGCAATGTTTGGATCTCAAATCCTAAGCTAACCCTAAGATGAAGCCAAGGTAAGGACATTGACTCACGTAATTCTGTATCTCTGAGTGCTTCACGTTTTTCTTTTTGCCTACCTCGCTTCACACTTTAAAGACTCAAGTCAAATCCCATTTCTGCCTTTCAACATTCTCTAATCATTGTGGCAATTTGAGATGCACTGAACTACTCAGGGTTGCATTTGTGAACATTCTCAGCTAGAATAAGTTGGGATTCTCAAACTCTAGTTTGTATCAGCATCACTTGGAAGACTGCTGGGCACAGATGTCTGGGTCTCATCCTCGGAGTTTCTGATTCAGTAAGGAAGGATGGAGTCAAAAGATAAACATTTCCAACACGTTCTTAGGTGATGCTGAAGAGCCATCTAGGAACCCCTATGTGACTCCCTGTCTGGGAACCACACTTTGTTACTGTACTATAGGGAATACCTTTCCCTCCTGGAGAATATTTGCTGCGTTCTATCTCATGCAATCAAGATTCCACTCCAAAGTCAGATGCAGCAGTCAGTGTCTATAACCCCAGCTGCTCAGGAGGCTGAGGGGGGATAATCTCTTGGCCTGAGAAATTTGAGGCCAGCCTGGGCTACACAGTGAGACTCAGTTTAAAATCAAACCAAACCAAACCAAACCAAACCAAACCAGACCAGACCAGACCAGACCAGACCAGACCAGATCAGACCAGACCAAACCAAACCAAACCAAACCAAACCAGACCAGACCAAACCAGACCAGACCAGACCAGACCAGACCAGATCAGACTAGACCAAACCAAACCAAACCAAACCAAACCAAACCAAACCAAACCAAAGAGGTCTCTTTCTATATAACCTCCTCTATGTTGCTCAGAGTTAGGCTCCTTTCAGTCTGTATTTTCACTCACAAATTATCTTGCTCCATTCAAATAAAGGTAGCAAAATTGGACACTTAAGGGGACCAGATAGTATGCAAATGTATGCATTTGGTGGGATGGAAGACATGAAAAATGACTTGTCTTTACTGCACCACTTTCTCATGGGCCATAAAGTGTTTTTCCTCACAACATACACTGTTCAGAGAGAGCTACGCTAAGACCAGATTTCGGACAAAACACGACAAGGCCACATTACCAACAGAAAATGACTAAAAGTTCCCCCACCCCATCTGCTACATGGTGATTAGGATGGAGTGTCAATTTGATTGAGTTTGAAGCCTACCCAGAAGGTGGGTTGAACACTTCTGGGTTGGTTTGGACATGACCTTGGGGTCTATGTCTGAGTTACTGCCCCTATCCCTTGCTCTCTGGTTCTGTTCACATGCTGTATTTCCTGGTCACCATAACCTAAGCAAGTTTGCTCTGCCTTGCCCTTCAGTCACGATGTTCCTGCCTTAGAGACAGTGGATCATGGACTGAACCCCGTGAGACCATGAGTTAAACTAACCTTTTAAGTTGTGGGTGTTGGGTATTGTGTCCCAGCAACAGGAATGCTGACTAAAAGCAAATTGTTCACCTGTAACACCTCAAATCTCAATTTGGCTCTCTTACCTGCCTCTTCAATAAAAATTAATGCTTATTAGTCATGGAAAATCCCCACTTCTTGTCAGCCTGTAGTTCAGATATGGAACAGGCTTAACTAAATTCTTGTTAGAATCCTCCAAGTTAGGTTACACAGTTTATAAGAAGCTTCTTCTCTCAGCCTTCCTGACTGCACTGAGAGGCTGGGGATCTTCTGCACGATGTCTCTTTCTAATCCAGCAAGTTCAGTAACATAAACTCTTTGACCCCAATTTGGTTCTTAGTGCTCTTCTGTCAGCAAACTTTACAGAGGGAGATAGGAACAATGTCCCTGGCTCTGACAAGCAGAGATGCGCCCCACATAAAGGCATTTCAGTACATTCAGCAACAAACAAGGATAAACCAGAGACTTTTGTAGATAAATGAATGCAACTAAAGTCCATACTGATCAGTGAAATAAATCAGACTCGTGTATGTAAACATCATACTGCCTCCCTGGTGTGTGAACATGAAAGAATACATGAGATCTAAAATGTACAATGCTTACTGTGAATTAGGAAGAAATTGTTAATAGGGAAAAAGCAACTAAAGGGAAAGGGGAGAGGAAGGAGGGAAAAGAGGGAAAAAGAATGCAAATTAGTTGTACAATTAGTGTTTCTTAGTTCATGGAAAAGAAAGGATGGTGCTTATACGGATTGGAGAATTTTTTATGCCCATATCTTGTACTCTGAGTAGCTACTTTAAAGATAATACTAGCCAATATATTAACTATTGTTATTCTCCTAGTATCTTGTTATGAAATTTTGTTTTATTCTTTTTCCATAAAATAAAAAAAGGCACTTGAATTTTAGTATATGTGTTGCTGAAGTGAGCATGTGAATATTCCAAACAAATACAAAATTCAGACTGTGGGAAAGTGGAGCCAGCCAAACACTGTCAGCCTGAATCCCATGCTGAAAGGTTTAAGATATACTCTTTTAAATCTTTGACTTCATCAGCACAGATTTTTCTCCCTCTTTTCTGACTGCATTAGCGAAATTTCTGTTACTGAACAAAATACCTGAGACTATCAATTTAAAAGGGAGAAAGTTCACTTTTATAGTAACAGTCTTAGAGGTGTCAGTCCATGGCGATAGACTCCACTGTTTTTGACAAAGCAAATCATGGTGGAGAGTGTGTGTTGGAACAAAGAGCTCACTTCATGACAGCTGGGAAGTAAAAATAATGGATAGGAATGGGCAGAATTCCAATGTACACTTCCAGGGACACCTTATTGACATAGCTTCCGCCCATTAGGCTCCACCTCTTAAAGGTTTCTGCACCACACAATAGCACCATGGGCCAGGAATCAAGTCTTTAACACACAGGCCTTTGAGAGACACTTATCTAAACCATAGGACTGACACCCTAAAAGTTGGGCATAAAAGAGTAGCAACCACTGACATGGTTTACCAACAAGTTTTCATTTCTGTCTTATTTAATCTTCACACTTTTGTAAACAAGACACAGTAGATCCTTTAAAGATGAGGAAACTGATCCTCAGAGGTGTAGGGGTCTTGAAAAGTCCCATTTTAATAATGTGACCAAATTCATACAAGAATTAAGCAAAAAAAAAAAAAAGGCAGGCTCTGAACTCAGTTTTCAGCATTCTTTTTGCTAGATTTTACTACCGCCACCTCTCAGGAACATGCCGTTGAGCAAAGTGATACTCTCTTAGGTCGTGAATGTTTTATTTTCCTTCCCATTTAGATCATAACATCCTGAAAGCTCAAGTCTCTGTCATGTATTTCTGTGGCGTTTTTTGTAGCTAGATCTAGTGTAATGCTGAGCACATAGCAGACCCTCGGTAAGGAGCTGATGATTGATGGCAAGCCACAAATATTTTTCAGAAAGAGACAAAGGAAAGACATTATTTCAAAAAAAAAAAATTTTCTGTTTTTTCTCACAGTTGCAATACTATAGGCTGTTGTTACTTCAATTCTTTAGGATTCTTGGCACGAAAGCATTTTTCATGTTTCATTTTTTCTGTTCCTGGTTCTTATACTGGAAAACGCTGGTAGTTTCAAATCTCAAGTTCTTATTTATCTTCTGGAATTTTCTGCATTTTTAGAAAATATCAGGAGAGCGTGTGGTAGTCACTGGGATGTGCTGTTCAGTGCTCCTTTGAAAGAGGATTGGTGTCCCAGCTGTTGGAATGGTGCCGGCACTGGCCTTTCAGGGACTTCCCAGCTGCAGCGAGCTTCCTTCTCTAGAGGATGCATCCATTTCCCAAGTGGTTCACAGACCAGAGAAAGTATAAAAGTTCAGCACCTTAGTCCCACTCAAGGTGACTGTGACGGGTGTTTTTACTTTGGAGCTGCCAATGGAGCAGGGTAAGGCTTTGGTTTAGTCTGTACCGCACCTCAGTGTTTTCTACCAATTCCTGATTCCTTAATCTTCTTTATGAAGTGTGGAAATGAAGGCTCTCCTAAGGTGCCTTTCTCTGCATGTGAACTGTATCTTAGAGCCTGCTTCCAGGTGAACACAACTGGGCACTGATGAAGATGAAGAAGATGAGCACTCTATGGACCATCCAGAGGAGCCGCATCTGTGTGTGGTGGTACACATCTGTAATCCTAGCACTCCGGGTAGCTGACGCAAGAAGCCTGAAATTTCCAGCACATCCTGGGCACCTGAGTAACATAGTAAG